GACATCCTCGGGTCTCAACAAATGGGTTGTGACAAAAGCGGGCTAGGCTATGGTGCAACAGCTCACAAGGGATAGGCCTCCACTTCATATGACATTAAGACTCAAGCAAAGGGAAAGTTGAAGGTAGACCAGGCTGATCCCTCTCTTCATCTACCTAAAGAGGGTAAGATCAACAAAAAGGAGGTAAAACCTGTTTTTATTTGTCATCAATGTGGTAGGTATGGCCACATTCGTCCTTATTGCTATGAATTGTTTGGTAAGGTGTCTCAAAAGGGTAGAAATTCAAATACTTTTTGGGCTAAGAGACAACCTTATATGTCAAGGCGAAATACCAAGACTAAAAAGATTTGGGTGAGAAAAGATGATTTGACTTGTTTAGTTGTTCACACTGCACTAAAAGCACGTGATTCACACATGTGGTATCTTGACAGTGGGTGCTCTCGTCATATGTCCGGTAACAAATCTTACTTCACCTCCCTTGAAAAATATGAAGGAGGAATTGTTACTTTTGGAGATGGCGACACTTCTAGAGTCATTGGTAAGGGCTCTATAAGTATTGCTGGTCTTCCTAAGCTCGAAAATGTTCTTCTTGTTGATAGTCTTAAAGCAAATCTTTTAAGCATTAGTCAAATGTGTGATTCCCATCATGAAGTGTTGTTTTCAAAAAATAAATGTGAAATTTTGGATAAAAAGGGAAATACTGTCTTACATGGGGTTCGCACATCTGATAACTGCTATGGGATTGTTACTACTAATGATCTCACTTGTCACTCTGCCAATGCCATCATTAGTAACATTGACCTGTGGCATCAAAGATTAGGTCACATGAATTTCAAAGACCTAACTAAGATAGCCAACAAAGAGCTTGTGAGAGGAGTACCTAAATTGGGTAAGAATTTGAGCCATGTGTGTGGACCATGTCAACTTGGAAAGCAAACCCGTGCCCCTCATAAAAAGGTGAACAGCTTTACAACCAAACGTCCTCTTGAATTGGTTCACATGGATTTAATGGGTCCTACTCGCACTGAAAGCATCGGAGGTAAAAGATACATTTTTTTAACTGTTGATGATTTTACTCGATTTTCTTGGGTAAATTTTTTAAAGGAAAAATTTGATACGTTTGATGCTTTCCAGGCCTTAGTCTTTAAAATCCAAAATGAACAGGGTGTTTCCATTGGGCGTATCATAAGAATCCAAACTGATCATGGTCGTGAGTTTGAAAATAGTTCGTTTTTGGATTTTTGCGATATGCATGGAATTAAGCATGAATTTTCTGCACCTATTACTCCACAACAAAGTGGAGTTGTTGAGAGGAAGAACAGGGTTGTTCAAGAAATGACTAGGGTCATGCTCCTTAGTAAGAAACTTCCTTCAAAGTTTTGGGCTGAAGCCTTAAATACTGCTGTTTATGTCATAAATCGCGTGTATTTAAGGCCCGGCACTTTACAAACTCCATATGAATTGTGGAAGGGTTTGAAACCTAATATAAAATACTTCAAAACTTTTGGAAGTAAGTGTTACATCTTCAAAGATAGAGAGTCTTTGGACAAATTTGACTCCCAAAGTGATGAAGGTATTTTTCTAGGGTATTCAACCACTAGTAGGGCTTTTAGAGTCTATAACCTGCGAACTTCATCTTTAATGGAATCTATCAATGTGGTTATAGATTGTTAGAATTTACCATTCCCACTCACCTACTACACTCCACCTACCACCAATTTACCCTCACCTACTCCTCACCTACTACCCAAACCCTCTCCTATATAATGCCACTCTGATTTGTAATACAAAAAATCAATATAATCAATCTTGTAATACATCAATCAATAATATACATCAATATATTTTCTTACATGGTATCAGAGCAGGTTTAGAACCTGATATTTTCGCTTCCCCGGCGGGCGGCAACCTCACCTTAGCTGCCCGCCGGACCTCAACCTAGTCCGCTAAGTTTTTTCTTACACATACCTTGATCACTCTGCATGTGCTTCCTCCCCAGCTGCTGTCCAAGCACAAAATCTCTTCAATTCCTCTTCTTCGTATCAAAAGTTGCGAGGCGAAACCAAAAGGGTGTGTCGAAAACCAGAGACAATGGCCAGAAGAACTCGATCGTTCTCACTCGCACTGGTGTGGACGCTAGTCCTCTTCGCAACCCTAGCTCTCACTCAGGCGAAGAAATCGAAGGAGGATTTAAAGGAAGTGACTCACAAAGTTTACTTTGATGTTGAGATTGCCGGAAAACCTGCTGGTCGTATTGTCATGGGTCTCTTTGGGAAGGCAGTTCCTAAAACAGCAGAGAATTTCCGAGCACTGTGCACAGGGGAGAAAGGTGTTGGAAAGACCACAGGTCACTACATCCCACCATCCCCACCTTTGCCCATCTTCGCTGACGACCACCTCTCACAACGGAAAGTCACCTCTAACTGCCACCAACCATCTCCTACAATTGACAACCACCTTCAGCCACTATCTCTGAACATCTGCTACTCCTACAATTGACAACCACCTTCAGCCACTATCTCTGAACATCTGCTAATCACCTTCGGCCACCATCTCCCACAGCCGACAACCACCTCAGCAATCATCTCTTGCCAAAAACCACCTTCGGCGACTGAGTTGAATTGGGTGCCCGTTAGCAAATCACTCCGACAAACTCATTTACTTTTTTAAACTCTTTTTTCAATGGATGGAGTGTAGTGGTGATGGGATGGTAGTGGTAAAGGAAGTGGTTGTGGGGTGGTGAAGCTGGTGGTAGAGAAGATGATGGCAATCGTGGTGGGTTACTAGATTTGTTGCTTATTTTTGTTAGAAAATGATTCAAAATCATTAAGAAGTAAATGAGAAATTAATTCCAAAGATCACCACTTGAATTTTGGTTTTGTCATTTCCCGGCGTTGATTTGTTCATGTATGTATTTTTGAAGAAAAATTATATTAAAAAAATATTTTTGTTTATTTAAATTTTCCAAAAAGTATAAAAGATGTTACTGTTTCTGGTATCCGTTCTATGTGAAGAGACACAACTCAAGTTTCATGACTATTCCAAACAGTCACGAAGAACTCTATATAATCATCCCTGCTTTGCATTTTTCAAAAATTTGATTCCCTTTCTCTGCATCATACATAGAGTTTCAGTATGAGAGTATAAGACACAAATAGTTCGCTAGACACACAATTGAAGTGCTTCAATATGTGATTGTGAAGTGAATTAATCTCATAACACTATAGTGAGGGACGATTTCCATAATGTCCAACACTGGACTCTATCTGATTATTTATGTACAATCTACATTCTGTAAGCTTGCATTGTTTTTTTATTGTCTTTACTTTTAAGGGTAAATTATGCAAATAGTCCTTGTAGTTTACATGATGTATTAATTTGGTTCATATAGTTTCAATTTGTTCGATTTTGTCCCTTAATTTAACGGATTGTGTCATTTTAATCCAATAAATAATGGTTATTAAGTTAATTTAACGGAAGGTCAAATAATATGTCAATTTGGTCCCTGTACTTTACACGATATGTCAATTTAGTTCCTATAGTTTCAATTTTCTCGATTTTGATAGGGACTAAATTGACACATTGTGAAAAATACAAGGACCAAATTGACACATTAT